AGGCAACAGAGATATGATTCTATAAAAAGATGCTGAGAATATCATCGACAGAGCATGTGAACAGTAAAGAAGTTCCAAAGAAAATTGAAACAAAAAGGATGCTTACAGTTCAAAAAAGTGGAAATTTCTAGAACACATAATGAGGAAAGAAGGCTTGGAAAATTTGACTCTCACAAGGTCAGAGAGAATAGCAAGTAACCAAACTAAATAATGTGTGTCTATATCTCTGAGATGAGGTATTATGATTACTTGTATTATTTACATTATTCGAACTGCTATCCACATCTTCATTGCTATATTCACAATGTTTTGGCTGTTGTACACTCTGACCTTCTTCAGGTGAATGAGAGTGTGAAACAAGTCCATTATTTTGGCCACCGGCATAGATTGTTCTAGTTCCATGCACCATGCTTCTTCTGGATGTCTCAGTTATTTCCCTTTGACTCAACTCTGCAGGTTTTGGCTCACCAGTTGTGAGTTCAATACCAGGCCACAGTGGATGAAATAAAGGGTTCGGTTCAAAATTCCAGTAACCTGAAGAAGGCTGGAGCATACAAAAATGTTGTGAATATGGCAATGAAGATGAGGATAAAAGTCCGAATAATGTAAATAATGCAAGCTAAAGAATGTACTTCTGCAAAATACATGGCATAACAGAGAGAGGGAATAAGAAGTTGTGGAGAGCCCTGATCCTTTATTTCTTGAAGGGATAGGGTACATAGAAGAAGAGGCCCATGCAATGATATATTGAAAAAGTATATCAGTTATTTTCAAAGAAGACTTTTTTTATGGAAGAGTGAGAATTGATATTAAATAGATAGACTCAATACATTTCTGGTCTAAAACACATCACATTCCCTACAGAAGATTCTGTAGTTCTCTGAGTCATATTGTTGAACCAAGGCCTCATCTCTTGTAAATACCCCAACTTTGAAACCATCCTCTGCTCCTTCATGAAGTCTGTGGGAATCTACTTTGCACAGCTCTTTGAGTAGCTCAGAGACTGCACTAAACTGCAGACACTACCATGACTCACTTAAGTATTTTTATAGAGTTTGGAAATAATCATTCTTCTGTCAGCTCTAATAAGATCAACCTATTTTGCCTTATTTTCATCACAGCAGTAGCTGACCTGCCACTGCAGTACCTATCACTAAGATCAGTTTTTACTTTCTGTCTTGGATCATTGTAAACTTGACTGACTCATTTTCTTACTTTGCTTACACTCTATAAACATTCACTGATCTCATGTATTGGTCTGTAGTATTCTTTCAAAAACAGAAAATCTATGATAGTGCTTTACTTTCTTTGTGTTTCCAGAGAGGAAGTTATTTTGAAAGAGGATTATGGACGGGAAAAAGAAGATAACTCCACAAATTTTCCTCTAGACTTCTCAACACTTTACAGTTTATAGCTTAAAAAAATTTCCAAGTAATTCTGATTAATAATTTTAAAATGAGATTAGAAGACATATTACTTTTGGCCATTCTTCATAATTGTGGTTTATGTTCCAGCAGATAATATGAAACCTAATGTCTCTAATAAAATTTATTTTTAGTCTTTATTATTTTAAAATGAATGCTCTAAAAGAAGGAAATGTGCAGTTTAATAGTGGAACTCATAAAACCTGGTCTTGAAACTGTTTATCAAAACATAAGTACTAATAAAAAAAAGCGTAGCTCTTAGTGGCTGAATAAAGAGCAACTAAAAATGCTGATGCCCAGAGATCTATTCCTGATACAGCAGCACCACCTCACTGCATGAAGGGGATAGAAAGTGCTATAATTACCAAACTGTCTACAGTAAATTTGCACCCAATATGAAGTACTTAATAATAAAAGAGATAATAACATAAACAAAAAGAAACAAAAATGAAATTGGTTTGACTATATAGATATATTTACAGATCGTGACAACTCTTAGGGAGATGTGATTAAATATATTTTAATTTTTAAAAATTTATTCAGTATTATTATTGTTTAAGAAAGCATTAAAACATAGCACAAATAGCTATATTGTGGAAAAAGAAATTTATGACAATATACACATTTTTTACATATTTATAGTTATTTTTTTAACTTTTATCAAAAACGACATTCTTGTACATGTAGTTAGAGATAATATTATACATTAATTACTATTTTTTTTAATTAATAACTATTTGTGCTCCTTTGTTGATATTAATAGCTGTCTGCTGATGTGTTAAAATTTTGGAATAATGTAATGATAAAAATTTAAATTTGATCTCTCTGATAGATGTTGTGATCTTTAAAAAAAAAAAATTAATTTAAAAAAATAATATCTAAGTGTCCCCCCCTCCTTCATGAGCATGTGTACTTACATTAACATAAACATCCCTTAAGTCTGATGAAGTCTTAAAGGGTGAAATGTATCACATGAAAAATCTTTTTCCATCTGTCATTAATTTTCCTAAACTTGATGACAAGTAAACAAAATATACAACAGGGGTGATATACCAGAAGACCAAAGAAGAGCCATTTTCATAGCACTGTCTAAGAAGACAGGTGCAAACAAATGTGAACTCCATAGGACAATTAGAAAATGAGCCATATAACAAAACTTATAATCCGAGTTCTAATGAATAGAGTGAGTAGCAGAATTAGACTAGAAATAGGACAAAAACAGTGTGAGTTCATTAAAGACACTGAAATGAGGAAAGCAATATTTATGCTCAGAATGATATAAGAAAGATCAATACAAATGCAGAAGAATGGATTCTTGTGTTTTATAAATTATGCAAATGTTTTTGATAAAGTACATCAGAAAGAACTGTTAGAATTGCTCATTAACCTTAACATATTTAGGAAGGATATTAGAATAATCCAGAACCTATACTGGTAGCAAACCACCTGCATAGTGTTAGAAAAAGAAATTCAGTAAATATACAAAAAGAGAAAAGGGGTGTAAGACAAGGATGTATCTTCTCACCAGACTTATTCAATCTAGACAGTGAGGTGGTTCTGAGAGAATTAAAAGTCCTACCAGGATTTATTATTGGTGGCCACAATCTAAACAGATGACACATTGCTGATAGCAGACACATAAAGGAAACTACAACTTCTACAGAAGGTAGTGAAGGAAATCAAGAAGAAATGACTAAACATTAGATACAAGAAGATAGAATGTATAGTTGTTAGCAAAAGGAACAACCCAACATGTAAATTACAGAGATACTAAAATCAAACAAGTATAAACATTTAAATATCTGGGAAGTGTTTTAACAGAGGATAGTGTGACACTGAAATCCAAAAGCGCATTGGGATAGTGAAAGATGCATTCCAAAGCTAAGCAAAGTATTAAAAAATAGGAAAAATTTTTTTGAAACAAAGATTACTAAACTGTTATGTAATATCAGTGTTCCTATATGGTTGTAAATGGTAGATTATATCCTCATAGATGAAGAAGCGACTTGAAGCAACAGAAATGTGGTTCTACAGAAGTCATGTAGTTTGGTTTGATTTGTTTTACGGCATATCAACCCCAATGGGTTATTTAATGCTGACAAAATTTTCATTGCTGGTAATATTTTGTTCTGACAAAAATCTATTTCTGCTTATAATTTTTTTATTTAAAAAAATGTGTTGTTGTAATAATTTTAAAAAAAATCTATTGCTGGTAATATTTTTTTCCTCAAAAATGTATAGCTGATAATAGTTTTTTTTCTTCAAAAATTTATTGCTGAAATAAATTTTTACAAAGTATTTCTGGTATTAAAACCTGTTTCCACACTTTCATAGTGTTTTTACCCCAGTTTCGGGGTTAACTATTTGCCCATAGCTGGGACCCTAACAGGTGCTACCACCCTGGGTCAGGGCGGACCTAGGAACACTAGCAATTAAGAAGTGGTTCCACGCTCCTCAAAACTTCCTGATCAGAGGCCTTGCTGTTGGACGTAGTTTATCGTCTTACCTAGGACGCGGATGTAATTTATCATCATACCCAGGACGCGGATGTAGTTTATCATCATACTCAGGATGGACAGAAGGATGTAGAGAATACCATGGACTGAACACGTGAGCAATGAGGAATTTTCAGAGATAACGGAAACAAGAAGGACAATTATATTTAATATCAGAAAGAGATAGTTGAAATTTGTAGGGTACATCATATGGAAACAGGGTTTAGGGAATTTGATACTCACAGGACAGATTGAAGCGTGTGGGGGAGAGGAAAACAATGCATAACCTATTTACTGAGCTTGAGTAAATGGATGGTGGAACAAGGTTTAGAAGAGATAATAAAAAGACAAAATTTATTAGGAGCTACAAAAGACAGGAAATTGTGGAGAGCCATGATTGCCTACATCCTGAAGAGGCACAGCACATAGAAGATGAAGAATGTATATGTAATAATAATTTAAAAGGACTAAGAAATTTCTAAATGATCCATTATAAAATGTGACCTGGGGTCATACATAGAACTGATTTGGGTATACAGTCCCCCTCATTAAAAAACTGACAATGTATCCTCTTCAGCCATTTTTAGTGAATAAACCTCGGCAGTTGATATTCAAGATTGAACTACTTAAAATCTTATTGAAATTATTGTTTAAGGTTGAAATAAAGTTATCAGACTAGTTCTCATGTCAGACTCCATAATCAATTCAGATTTTGGTGTACAGATCAGCTACGAGAAATTTAGTATAGGAGATAAGGAAATTGACCACAGGATAGGTTGAACTTTTGTCCCAACATTCCTTAGGTGCTATGCATGATACATACTTGGGTGATCATTTCTCGTTTTGATTCATGGCTTGGCAGAAGAATTCTTGCAGTAGAATGTTGTTACTTTCTACAGTAGACTAGTTGGCAATCAAGGTTATAGGAACCAGTCTGTCCTACTATTTAACCCATAGACAGGGGATAAGAGGTGGATTCAACGGTTTTTGCATGTAAGTGAATGTAATGAACTCAATTCGAATTCCAACTCAGCTCTCCAATTTCTCAATCTGAGCCATTATCTATCATAACATCAAGATTATAGCACCTAGTATTCCCAAGTGGTCACCCATCTAGGTACTGACCAGACTTGATGTTGCTTAACTTTGGTGATGATACAGGAACTGGTGTTTCAATGTGATGTGGCCATAAACCATACCAGCCACACATCTAAATTTACAGCACTTCTTATTCTCAAGCGGTCACTCATCTTGGTACTGACCAGACTTAATGTTGCTTAACTTTGGTGATGATACAGGAACTGGTGTTTCAATGCAACGTGGACATAAGCCATACCAGCCACACATCCAAATTTACAGCACCTGGTATTCTCAAGTGGTCACCTATCTAGGTACTGACCAGGCTCAATTTTTTCAATTTGATATATCTGTAATTCTATAAGATACTACAAAAATGAAATATTGGTCTGAGTCATGTTCTGAAATCACCTTGTTAGATATGGATGTAATGCATAGTGACTAACTCCTTTAGAAATGTCTATGGCTTGATGCAACAATTTTCTCATGTCAATGATTAAGTTTTTATTTGCAAAATACTGCAAGTCACTTGCTACTATTTCTATAGAAAATGTTCTGATGAGGTATGATCATTTGCCCCACCAGTTCAGACCTTTACAGTTAGGACCTCCCATGCCCATGTACACAGAGATGAATCATCCTGACTCTTTTTATAGACCATTGGTAAGAAGAAAGTTCCATTCAGACAGTTTCTTCTCAAGAACTGTTACTCTGTGGAACATATTCCCAAATTCACAATTGCTACAATTCCCTAATCACTACAATCTAAATCTACGGTCAACCATTTTCTTTCCTACAAATCATCATAATCTGCACTTGTTACTTTCTTCTCTTACATTTATAAAACAACCTCAATCAGTAGCCCTCTGTATTGAGTGGCTCTTGGAGCTTGCGTTGGGTGAAAAATAGTAAAAAGATAATGTAACAAATCGGAACCGAGGTAGCAAAACTATTCAGCACTAACCAAGATTATAAGAAGTAAGAAATCTATTCTGCATCATAAAGTGCACTAAGCTTGTTATGGAATCCAATCTTTATATGCTCGGTCTACCGCAAGATATAGGTGATCATGGCTCTCCACAATTTCCTCTCCTTTGTAGCATTTAATAATTTTTTTTTATTTGTCATAAATTCTGTTCTGCCATCCATTTACTCAAGTTCATTAAGTATGTCATGCATTCTTTTCCTCTGTCCCGCTTGCCTTCAATCTGTCCTGTGAGTATCAAATTTTCTAAGCCATCTTTCTTCATTATGTGCACTACAAATTTCAACTGTCTCTTCCTGATGTTAAGTGTAAGTTCCCTTTTTGTTTTCATTTTCTCTAAAATTTTGTTTCTGCTCACATGTTTGGTCCATGGTATCTTCAACATCCTCCTGTAGAACCACATTTCTCTTGCTTCAAGTCTCTTCTTCATCTTTGTTCAACATTCACTGCCATAGAGGAGGCCAGATATCATATAACAGTTAAATATTCTTTTCTTTATTTCTAGCAAAGTTTTGTTTTGTCTCTTAATACTTTGCTTAGCTTTTGGAATGCATCTTTGGTTATTCCAATACATCTTTGAATTTCAATGTCACACTTTCCATCCTTTGTTAAAACACTTTCTACATGTTTAAATTTTTGTACTTTGGTATCTCCAATTTGTAATTTGCATTTTGGGCTGCCCTTTTGCTAGCAACCATCCATCCATTCTGTCTTCCCAATTATTTGTTATAAAAAGGAAAGTAAACCCTACTTATCAGGCTGTTCATACATAAATGATTCACAAATACATCACTGTATTGCTACTGAGTTTTGCTATAGAAATGCACCTTATATCAAAAAGAGATTGTTTGTAGTCAGGATGTTTTTGGGAGGGCAATTCTGTGATGCAAAAAAAGAAAGACTTCAAAATGGGGTTGCTACTGAGGAAAGAAAAGAAGGAACTCTTTCCAACACCATAAATCATGGAATGCACAGTCCATTATAGGGTGTAGCTAATGGTAATACTTTCTCAACAGCTGCTGGGAGTGGACTGCCTGCCAGTTCCAATGAATCCTTAAAATACCTGCTGAAATCATGAATATTCACCAAACAAGTGTTTTATAACAATTGAACATACACACATGTGCACTTTTCACATTACAAATGGCTGCCTGCATGCAAAGCATCATGCCCAATGTTTTTCTGAGATCAGATAAAAAAAAAAACAATGAATTACTTCAGATTTATAAAATCTGTTTGTATACCATAAGATAATATCTATTATGTTTTCACAAGTATATTTATTAACATAAAAAAGAGCGATAACAGTGGCCGTGAAAAATTTAATTTCCTGGTTCACTGCTTTAAGCAAAAGACTTTAAAGATTTCAGCTTGCTGCAGCAGTGACAATTTGGTCAATGTCTGCCAAATATTTTCTTATAAGGAAATGGTTAATCTCACTACTGCCATATTCACATGAGGTGTGTGCAATTATTTCTGGAATAGATTAGGAAGTCAAAATATTGATCATGCAAAGAACACAGATATTTCTAGCCATTAATTCAACAGCAGAAAGAATATTAAATTCATCTTTATATGAGTGTGCCTAAAATTACTGGGACAACTGAACCTTTTCTTGATTAAAAACATTGTTACTGTTTTTACCATAGAAGAAAGGCATGAAATATCAAGACCAGAATGTTCATAGTCAGGAATTTCTATTATATCATTGCAAAAGTTTGTACCCAATTATAAAATTAAAAACAATGAAAATCTGGAACAAAATTTTGCAATGATCTAATATAAGTATGACTGTGTATTTGATCTGAATCTAAGCAGATTAGCAAAATCTTAGCCCAGCTTTACAAAAATTCTGTAAAAGGAAAAAACAAAAGAAGAATAGATTGAAATAATTCAGGTTCATCAGCCTTGTAAAATTTGTATACAGTAAAATAATATATTGTTTTCATAAATATATTCATTAGCAAAAGTAGTGAGAAAAAAATTTTCATTCAATCTTTAGGGTTTTCCAAGAAATTGCCTTTTAAATAGTAAGTGGAATTTGCAATTGAACCACTTTATTTCATCTGCTAATACAGCTTCAAAATAAATATGACGCAAATGGTTAATGGTTGCATTCTCTTTATATTATCTTTCCTCTGATATTACTCTGATATTCTGCAGCACTTTAAATAAGCATTTACGGTGCACTGAAAAGATTTTTAAAATAATTTTTCATACTTGTTTTATGAACAAAATCCATTTCTGTTAAACTTAATTCATAAATACTCTTTATTTTTGTATAGTTTGTATTGTGTTGGTACAAAATTTTGTGGCATTTTTAAAAAAATATCATTTCATCTGAAGCAAGGCAATAAAGCCACTAAAATGCAAGGGATTACTGAGTATGAGAAAATACGAAAAATAAAAAACAACAATATTAAGCAGAGAGAACGGTAAAAGAAGAAAAATTAAGAAGATAATAATTGATACTACATTTAAATTTTTGAAAATTAAAGTTGACTGGAAAACAAGAAGCCAGAAGAGTGTTCCACAAGTGAGAAGTGTGATAGAAGAAACTGTTAGCATAGAACTTACAGTTGTATCTAAGCATTTCAACTGTAAAATGATTTCATTTCACACTTGACTGAAAATTTCTAATATATATATATATCCTGAAAGGTGATATTGCAACACATTTTTCTTTCTCGGCATTTTTAAAACATTTTCTGTGGACAGAATATATTGAATCGACTGCGAGGTCTGCTGCTAGGAAAGCTAGTTCACTGTGTTGTGCTACATAATTTTTCTCACCTGAATTGATCTTAGATATTTACAAGTCTACCATTCATCCAGGCTTTGAATAAAACTGTCATATCTGGTTAGAGGCTTTTGCTATGTATTTAGAGATTTAGAGAGACAATCTAAAGAAGAATCTGCAATGATATTGGTCTGGGCCAGTTACTTTCCCACTGCCATAGAATAGCTCACCTGTGCCTTTTCTATAAATATTTTTATGGTGAGCTCAAATGTAAAAATGAAAATATGAAAAATTAAAATAAGGCATTTGTTTTCCTTTAAAACCCATATCTCTCTTTCTACTCAACTCTGTGTCTCTCTCAACTAATGAAAAGGCAACTCCCAAATAAAAAAAAGAGGAAGAAGGAAACACTGAACAACTACTGCGAAAGAGAAGTTAGCTGGTCCAGGGTCTAGCCATTGTGACTAGAAATCTACCAAAACAAGAGAGGGTCCATGTATAAATTCTGCTATAAATGCTGCAAAATAAATAAAAGAATTTTGGCCAATTGAAAGAACAAAGAGACTTTTGATGATTGGCAAAATCGAGCTTCAGGTCAAGTAGTCTGGATTCTTTCTTAAGTGTATATAAAAAGGCAGCCAACAGATAGCCAGATATAACAGCCAAGCATGTCATGTGAAGAAACTAAGCAGTCATCTGCTTAAAACATTTTTCCGCCCTTCGTGAGGGTTAGGAAAACACAGAATTTGGTGTCTGCAACAGTTTGCCAAAGTAAACACACTCCCAGCTGCTACCAAAGTCTGACTCATAAACTATCACCTATCCAGCTGAATGTACTTTCACTAACCCAAATTACAAAGGACTCACTTCAATCAAAGTCAAATAAACATTATTATTTATTTATACCTTTAAATCTGTTTATTGTGAAATTTCTGAGAAATATTGCTAAGAATCTCTGGTGCTTCCCCATATTTTCATGGTAATTGGTGTTCACTTAGTGCAAATAATTTTTATAAAGACATGAATCTACTCCTCCCTATCCTCAGATATGGAAAAATGTCAGCTGGAACCTTTTAGCCCCGTAACATACTATAAATCCTCTTCACACTGCCTACACCTGATGGTGTACCCATGCTTAGTGGTCCGGTCCTTAGGGTCTTTGGATGACATTTTAACCACAAAGTTAACCCTGCAGTGGTCAATACTGATGCTGTTCCAAGCTGGCTGTTGGTTGCTGCCTGCTTTGATCCACACCCATTCTGTCCATACTGTGTTCTTGATCTCAGAGCAGTGAAAGACCGAATGTCATAGTAATTGAAGTCCTGGGCTGAGATGTGACATAAACTATATAAAGGGAAGAAATATCTTTGGAAAAAAAAAAAAAGAAAT